TGACCAACACCTGGGGCCTGATGGATCCCGACTGATTCATAATCAAGTGTGTTTTTAAAATAACAGGGTTATTGGGTAGGAGTTCAGAGCAGTGAGAAAAAAGATAACATTTGACGTACGGCCAGCTCCTTCCAATGCCGTGCAGCTGGTCAGCCTGCAGAAGCAAGCTGGCCCCTGATGCAGGATGGCCACAGAGGCCAAACCATGAAGCTGCCGTATAGGGGGCAGGGTCACTGTGATTCCCCACTGTCACCATGGGTGAGAGATGGGGTGTGCCCAGCTCTGCCCCCCTTCCCGTGACCCCAGTCATGGGTACCCTTGAACGATTAAGACTATTAAGCTTTTTTTCAGCAAACATTTGCAGATGCCTACAGGGCAGGTGATCTGCTAAACTCTGGGGGTGCAAAGATACAGAGCCATTCCCTTCCTTGAAAGAGTGCCCCAGGACCACTGTAGATTTCCCGACCCAAGCAGGAATTGTACAAGCAGGCATTATGACGGGCATGATCCATTTTCGTCACCTGGGGAGGCTTTCCAACTAGATGTCTATACCTTTGTGACCTTGGACAAGTCCCTTAATTTCCCTCAGCCTTGATTCCCTCCTCCTCGCAGCATAGAAGGTATCAGAGTGAGGGGCAGATGAGAACGCATATGTGAACTGCTTCGTGCTATGCCTTTTGCTGTGCCTTTTAGAAGGAGCCATTGCTGAGTATGGAAAATATTGAACCGTAGCACGCATGCTTGCATGAATCAGTCTGCTGAGTTATTTTAAGTTTGCATCTGAAAATAAAGGGTGGATTGCTGTCCAAATATAAAAGAATTGGATCCAGGCTCTAAAAGGATGTTTGCTGTTCTTTAGCAAAATACCATTCTTCTTAAGTTTCATTCAATCATTCCACAAAAATCTGAGCATCTGTTTTGTCCCAGGCACTGTGCTTGTAATGGGTGTACAACAGCAAACAGAACACTTGCTTTCTGCTCAGCTCGGGCTGACACTTGGACAGGGAATGTAGACGTTAAATAAATAGAAGTATGATGATGGCCATATAGGGGGAAGCCTGCTGTGTGTTTTAATATTTAACACCTGCTATGTGCGTTAATATTTAAATGTATCTTGGGAAGGTCTTTCCAACTAAAAATAATGATTTGTCCATTTGCCTGCAAATACCTCCTTTCTCTATAGGCAGTAGGCTGTTCATTTTCTGAGTGAGAGGTTCTGTTATTTGGGAAGAGAGCAGTTTTATAATTGAAAGTAAGCTGGAGATGATTCAGAGGAGAGACTATATGTTGGGTTTTCCTTGGCTTGTGCGTTGAAGTGGCTTAGGGAAAGTGGTTGTGTGCCAGTGGACAAGGGTTTAAACAAGCCACCCCAAATTCAGGTAAACCATGTTGTGTATGTCTTCGAAAATAAATGTAAATACCCAAAGCTCACACCTCTGTTCTTCATCTAGACCAGAGCTGTCCTGTAGAATTTTGTGTGATGATTCAGATGTTTTAGATCTTACCTGTCTGGTAAGGTCGCTGCTTAGCCACGTGTGGCAATAGAGCACCCCAAATGTGGCTAGTGGGACCGAGAGATGAATTTCAGATTTCATTTAATTTTTAATTAGTTTAAATATTTGAATAGCCGCTTGTGGCTTGTGGCCACTAGATGCTACAGCCAGACAGAAGATTAACTGATGAAACTCTTTCCTCCTGAAGTATGTATTTATTTTGATTAAGGGTAACTAAGACCTGTACATTTCATTTTTCCCGTCATATTTACAGCAAATAAAGGGGGCATGCACATTTTTAAAAATGCAACACAATCAGTTAGACCAGCTGCCTAATTGCACACATTTTCTGGGCTGTGAGCCTTAATGACCTAAATACTCCTAATAACCTAGGAACTATAAAACAAGCAAGTCATATTCTATAACTGAATACCAGTGGGTTTCTTGGCTGAGAGAAAGCAGTCAAGGTCTTTGGGGTTCTATCAAGTGGCTGTTGATGCATGGACATTCAAAAGCTTTTGTGAAAATAAGGTAGATTTTAGAAATTTTGAAACCAAATTGAAACTCTCATTCAGGTTTAAAATTTTATTGGAGTTTATTTTCATTTCTTCTTTTGGTTCATCTGTGGGGTTTTTGTTCCCCCTGCTTTGTTGTTTTCATCAGGTTGGGAGAATAAAGCCTGGCTGGTCAGTTTCAATTTTATTTAAATTCATTTTGTCTTCATTCCTTCTAATCTAGCACAGTCCTGTGTTATATTGAGACCAGAGTGCTTCGGGGAAATGTTGAAATATAAAAACATTTTCATGAAAACATTTCCACTTACATTTAATTTTTCTTCTCAATAGAAAAATATTTCCAACTTAATCCTTCCTCTCCCCTCTTGAAATGAATTGCATGCTTTAGAAATAACATCAATCCACCCAAGTACGCAAGGACAATCTCAGCCATTGAATGGAGATATAAAGGCTCAGAGCATGGTGGGGTTCAGAGGCAGGGACTGCCTTTCAGGATGCTGATAAACATGGGCGAGGCCCTCAGAGGGCCCTCGGTTCCCCACACACCAGCGCAGCAAACCAGTGCAGCACTTAGGTCTGGGCCTGCCGTGAAGAAATCTCTCACTCCATCTTAACCCATCAGCATCGTAGAGCTTATTTTGAGTAACTCGTGAGTGTCTGCCAAAGCAGTCGATGTTGAAACTTCCTCTTTCCAAACCCCATCTGACATCTGGGACCAGCTATGCTAGAAGGTGTTTGAACACGCCATGGAGTGGCTCACCCGTTTCTTAAGGAAAAAATGGCAAGCAAGCCCCTCTCAAGGGCAGACTCCTGCCTTCCCTCTGCCCTTTTATTTTGTTGTTGTTCCTTGGTAACTTCAAGCCTACTAGGAAGCCCAGCCTTAGGGGAAGGTGAGCCTCTCTTCCAAGGAAAAAGCAGCCGCTCATGTCCAACCTAGAAGCACCTCCAGTGTGAGCTACCCTGTGCTATCATTCCAGTCTGCAAAGTGCAGGGATATGGAGGCTCTGTGAAAATTTAGTGCATTCACCTGCATTGTAACGAGCGATGTACTGAGAGCTTACTCTACAACTGCTCAGGCACATTTCATTTAGTTTTTACAATAGCCAGTGGGGTGGATTCTCCTGACATTGTTTTACTGTTAAGCAAGTAGAGGCCTGGAAAAAATCAGTTGTCTATTAGAAGAGACTGTATTTGAACCAAGATATGCCCAATTTTAAAGTGTATGCTTTCCTGGGGCGCCTGGGTGGCTCAGTCGGTTGAGCATCCGACTTTGGCTCAGGTCATGATCTCACAGTCTGTGGGTTCGAGCCCTGTGTTGGGCTCTGTGCTGACAGCTCAGAGCCTGGAGCCTGCTTTGGATTCTGTGTCCCCCTTTCTCTCTGCCCCTCCCCTGCTCATGCTCTGTCTCTCTCTGTCTCAAAAATAAATAAACACATTTAAAAAAATGTTTAAATATATGCTTTCCTTTGCTGTACTCCGCCTGTAGGCTTTGCACCCAGAACAGCAAATTTTTGGTTACATGTTTTCTCCCAAGAAAGAGCTCATGAAAACAAAAATTTCCAGTTTTTAAGGTTTGCCCTCAAGAGGGGAAAGAAATTTGTGGGTTCCTAAAACAATAAGAAAATGAAAAGTCATTTTATTGTGTCTGGGTTTTCTGATGAAGTTGTGGCTTTTGTAATCAGGTAGATTCCAAACAATATCAAGATCTCTAAGGTTTTTCCTTAAATGAATATACACATCCCATTCTTACATGCGTTGATTAACCATAAAGTGATTCAGCTATAGGATGTTATAGCCTAAATATAAGAATGTATGAGTGTCAGAATTAATTTCCTCAACAAGGAGAAAGAGTCGGCAAATTCAGGAAGTGTAGTTCTGCGGTCCTTTCGTATTATTACATTTTTGTGCAGGCAAAGTCGCATGCCTTGGTCATGGGTACTGATTCTTCAGGTGTTGACTACTCCCTGATTCCTAACTGTTTGATCAAAGCCTCGGGCCAATTTCGTTTGCTCAGATCCAAAACCAGGTTAAAACTTCTTTCAGACCCAGTTCCTAGCACTGACCACAGAAGTCCAAACACTGGTACAGGCTCTTCAGGTAGACCTGTGGGTCCTGAGCAAGTGAGACTGTGAACTCCATTGACAGCAGGAACCTTGCCTCTCAGAACCGTTTCTCCAATGTGCTGAATCAATAGTCTGTCCAATGAAAGCATGAAGAGACAAGGAAGTACCATCAAAGCCATAGGGATAGCCGAGACTACCACACCAGCTTTCGAACGCTGTCATGCAGGAAATCTTTGCAACATAAATTATGTACTTCTTTCCTTCTTAGTTTAGTGAATATAATTTAATCATTTCTGGCCAACTTGGGGACATCAGTGAACATATATTGTTGTATTATGCATAATATGGTGATAGCCTTAAGGCGTAGTGGGAGGCAGTTTGCCCTATACTGAAGATTTCTTGTGTTTATTGTGTTCTTATGGTTTGGCTTTATCATTTTTATGTCCCCATTTCTGTTTAACAGACTTACTGCAGTACGACAGGGAAGCTCCGTCAGCCTCTCTGTAGGTCGTTATTTGCTGCTTCCTCTTTGCTGTGGGTACTCTGAAAACAGATTTCTAAGCTTGCTAGGATTATATGTAAGACGGGGCGCCTGGGTGGCTCAATCGGTTGACCACCTGATTCTTGATTTTGGCTCAGGTCGTGATCCCAGGGTCCTGGGATTGAGCCCCACATCGGGCTCCGTGCTGAGCATGGAGCCTGCTTAAGATTCTCTCTCTCTCCCTCTGCCCCTCTCCCTGCTCGCTCTCTCTAAAAATAAAACAAATCCTAAAAAGAGAGAGAGAGACAGAGAGAGAGAGAATTATGTGTAACAGTAAGTAGGCTGTAAGATCTAGCTTCTTTCTGGTCCTTGGCTGTGGACCCCCACAAACATGTTTTTGCTGGATAGTTGCGTTCCGGAAGGGTGTGGTATCCATCTGTGAGAAGTGTTTTCCCTTCACATGATCATGTTTTTTTTTTTTTTTTTTTCTTTTCTCTCTCTGCATCCACGTCTCTGTTTCTCTAGTAATATGACAGTTGCTGGAATAATTAAAATTAATGGAACACGTTTATCCACATGGGAGCGATTGTAGTGGTCAAAAAACATTTTCAAAAGGCATGCAATCCCCCCTTCTGTATCCTGGACCAGCCCTCAGCACCTAGTTTCATGACATAGTATTTTACAAGGGTCCCCTTGTATTTCACTTTCAGATAGCTATGCCTGAAGGGGCCTTTCCGCTCCCGCCTGGTATTGGTTCTCCCTCCCCTGATGTCATCTCCCACTCCTGGTCTTCGTCCTAGGCCCACGCCAACCCTGCCAGGCAAGACTCCTCCATGCGTTCCACTTCCAGTGCTCCTGCACCTCTCCGTTGTCCATTAAGGGTCTCTCCAGCAGGTCCTCCTTCTAGGGGTTACCACCTTACCAGCCTCCATTCCACTGGACACCTCTCATTGCTGAAGGCTTTGTAAGCGAACTTGATTTCCCTTTGGGAGGCAATGAGGTATAACAGAGCCGAGATCTTAGAGCAAAGCCAACTGCCACCCGAGGGCCCCTCTATTGGATAAGTCAGGCTGCTCTTGGAGCCTAGATCTCCTGTCCATAGAAAGGAGTTTGTACGGATCCAGTCAGCACATTCTTGGTGTGAAAGCAAGGGCTTAATCCAGTGGCACCTCACTCCCTTGCCTTTCAGGATTATTGCTTCTGTGTGGACAGGTAGCCGCAAGGGTTGACAGCAAATTTCTCATCTCCTATCGCACACCCTGTGATGCTGGGAACACCAGAGCAAAAATGGTTGCTGTCGCGCATTCATTTCTGGCCTCAATTTTCTATTATTCCCCGATGAGGATCCTTTCGTTGGAGACCAGTATCTGGAAGAGAAAAAAAAAAAAAAAAAAGTAGATCAAGCTTTTCAGATGAGATTTTAGTGCAGCCCCGACAGACTCTTTTTATTGCCTTCGCTACCACATAGTGGTGGATCAGGAAACTGTAGGGCTTGCAGGGCTGGGAAATTGCTGCCAATGGAGTGAAGATTCTGCTGCTGAAGGAATCTGATCTCTTTTCTGCATAACACAAAGAAAGCAGAAGCCCATATCATCTATAGCAGATGACAGAGTATATGTCCAGTTCGGAAAAAAATACATTTCTCAGTACCTTTAAAGCAAAAAGACCGAGTTGTGAGAAGGATCTAGAAGAAGTCGTATGCAGTTTACTGGTGTCCATTTTGTTGCTGCTTTTTGCATTCCTCAACCATCTTACTTCCTACTCCCACCCCACTGGAGGATACTCCAAAGATAAATGAACTGTTAGGCAATATGTGAGAAAGGCTACGGTCCTCAACATGTACGCCCCCGTTCTCTACCGGCCTCTTTAGCTGGTAGCAACAATACTGCTCTCGGAATCATCTATAAAAAGTAGGCATTTGCCTCATCTCCAAATTAGGGGTTTATCTTATTTGCAAAACACTTTCGGGGCCTTTGTCTGGGATGGCAGGGTTTTAGCAACTCTGGTCCAAGTGGGAAGCACACGAAGTTAAGTCTCATTCAAAGCGAGATTTTGGAGTTCCCAATGGTTGATTGGCATGTATCCTTAAGGCTCAAGAGTTTTTCTGTCCATTCAGTTGATTGACTATGCTGTAGTTGTTTTCTTTTCCTTGATGAACTTTTTAGGAACACTTACTTTTGAACGTGTAAATTTGAAATAATTTCAGACTTACTAAAAAAAAAATAGTTACAGAAAGTACAAGTTTCTGAACACCCTTCACCCAACTTCCCCAAACGTCAGCACCTTACATAACCAATTGAGGCTTATCAAAACCATCATATCACCATAACGCGGTACTACGAAGCTCCAGACTGGATTCAGATCCCACCAGTTTTCCCCTGTCTGGTCCTCTATCCAGTAGAGGATCCCGCCTCACATTTGTGGTCGTGTCTGTTCTGTTTCCTCAAACCCAGGTTGTTTTCTTCAGTCTTCCTTGGTAGCTTGCCACCTCCACACTTTGGAAGAGCACAGACCAGTTATTTTGTAGAATGTCCTTCTCTGGGTGTTTGCTTGTATGAAAGTCAGGTGACAGCAAGAACATACAGTGTTAGCAAGATGACCACAGAAGTGCCACTGTGCCCTTCCCAGTGCATCCTGTCTGGAGACACATCATGCCCATAGGTTTCATTTCTGATGATGTTAATTTTGATCACTTGGTTAAGATGGTCTCTGCCAGTGCACCCGTTGTTAATCTTGACCTTTGTAATCAGGAAGCATCCTTCAGAGGTAGATACTTGAGACTAGCCTCTTCATACCGTTCCTCATTATTCTTTCACTTCCCAGTTTTAACACCCATTACTGTGGTGTTTGCCAAATGGTGGATTCTTCTATTTCTGTTTTCTACACTTAGTAATTGGAATTCTACTCTGAGGACTCTATGTATTTTTAAAATGAGGGACATAAAACTTTTTAAATAGCAGTGGCAGCTCCACTTTTTCTGGGAGGACAATTATGAATGACATGCAGCAGAAAAATATGCAGAAGCCTTAGAAGTCTCAAATAGGAATGTTATTTGAGATGTCGTTGCCATCATTTTCCTTCAGAGGAGGTGAAGTAGAGGGGAGGAGATCTCAGGCGCCCTCCAAAAAAGTCCTCTTAGTATCTTGGTCCTGGCTGCAAGTGTCTCTTGCTTTTGAGGACTGAGAGGACACAGTTGCAAGACTGTCTCTGGAGCACAGCCCTGAATGTTTTGGATGGGTTAGGAAGGCTTACGCCACCATAAGAACTTTAATTAATACTATGAAATGTTATCTCTGAGCATTTTAGGCTATAATTGAAAGGAGTGCTCAAGATACGGTTTCCTTCTTTTAGAATATACACTATTACTCACATGGCAAACAATTTAGAGGAGCCCCTCCCTCCATTTAATTAAATTTCAGCAGCCCCAAATCCAATGCCTGTGAAGAAATCATTATTTTGAATTCTTTATCCTGAAAAGATTAAAATTACTCTTTACTCTTAGAGGTTTTTTTTTTTTTTTAATTGGGCTATTCTGTTCTTTGATTGTGATCCTTCCAATGTGATTTTTAAAAATATTTTTACTTCTACCTTAAAAGGATGAAACAGTATTTATATGCAACTACAATATTTTATCAAAAGCTTGTGCATCTAATTGAAAGGACTGTGAATGGCTACATTTTTAAATATCCTGCAGTCCATCCCAGTTTGTAATTTTATCATCACACTCTGGCAAGATCACACTCGGTACATTAAATTCCTGTGGCCCTCATTTTTCCCTCACTGATGTTTGTAACTCCTTGCGGATTAAATTTTAGGAGCTTGAAATAGAACCGTTCCATTAGGAAAAGAAAAAAAACCTCACACACCCCAAACCGTCGGTAGCTGCTCATTAGGTACGGTCAGGGGACTCACATTTGCCGGACCAAGCAGGAATTTTGATGGTAGAATTGACGGTTCTGAATTAGGTTGGATGAAAAATACGTACGGCTTTTAAAGGTGTGGCCGCACAGAATTCATGCAACCGAGTACTGAGGTTCTTTTCGTGTTTGCAGTGCCTTGGTGAATGTCCTAAAGTTGGCGGCTGAGCGGAGGGGGACAGGGAACATTTACTTGAGTGTTATTTCTAGACCGCAAGCCCAGCGCTGCAAAAAGTTCCAGCGCATCCGTTAAAGTTAGTGCACGTGCTCGGGCGGACCGGATCCCGGAGCGCCGCCGCCACCGCAGCGCCGCAGACCCCTCGTGGCCGCCCCGCTTCTGCCCTGGCTGGCGGGAGGCGGGGCTCAGCAGGCGCGTGCCCGCGCGGGAGGACTGGCTGGCCACGTGACCACGCTCTGGCCACGCCCGCCGCCGCCTCACGTGGTCTCCGGACACCATGTGCGAGAGTGGATGGAACTGGGAGCGGCCGGGTGTGGCATTCGGGTTTGGGAAGACAGAAGCGTCCTGATTTCCCGCCCCCTCCCCCCCCCCCAATTCCTTAATCCCGATAGCGGAAAATGCAGAAAGTATTTCTCATGTATTTCCGATCATGTCATCTAATCCCTTTGGTGGCTCAAGTTTCTTTATGGGAACGTGGTTTCCGTCTCGAGGGGTCGATCCCACGGTGCCAGAGCCACGCTGCCTCCCTCGGGACGGGGGCGGTCTGGGTTTCCCGAAGGTCGATCATCCATTTTATGGCAAAGAAGTAAACCGTTCTAAATCGTTTCACTACAAACCCTGGTTTCTCCTTAGCGATAATTGAATTTTGATGGAAAACCGGCTGTCCAAAAGTTATGGGAAGAGGGTGGTCCACCCTCCGACTTCCGCGGCATTGTTGCCTATTTGCCGCGGGAGGAGGCTCGCGGAGTAAATAACTTGGATGGGTCCCCTCCACGTTCGTCGCTCATGTGGTTGTGAGCAGTGCACAACGTAAAAGGAAAATAAAAGATGGAAGTAGGTTTGCGAAAGAGAAAAATTAATATGGAAGGAGGGTGTGCGTTCTCAAATTGAACCAGGGTCTCATTGTTACGAGCTAACGTCCAGTTACGTGCTCCAGTCCGATCCCGAACCGCAGCAGAACCGCCTGGGGAGCTCGTGCAGTCCGCGGGGAGGTGTTGGTGCCACCGTCCCCCGCCGCCACCACACGGACGCACGTGCCCTGTTAATTTCCTGGCACCCGTTGCGTACGGAGCCTCGTGTAAATCTTCGGCACACTCATTTCTGCCCATTTCGTGTGGGAAGTTAAGGTTCTTTTCGGTTTACTTTCTGTTCACCCTCATTAAAATGCGGCAAACCGAAAGGAGTTTATTAATGGAGATCCCAGTGTATAGAGAGATTTTATTGAAAAGAAGGGCTCGAATGATAAAACCTCATGTTAAAAATCAGAAACAGACTCTTGTTATTGTTAATAACTTTGAAAACGGAAATCCAACTTTTGATAAATTATTTCAGAGGAGTAGTTCTAGGGACCAGACATTTGGTAGGTAACTCTGTGTCTGGTCATCAATTATAGTGATTTCCTTGCATCAGCTCCAGAAAATCAGAATATTCATGAGCTTTCTGCTCTGACTCAGACCTTCAGGAGCCATGAAATTTTCCTGTTGGGATGAGAGGAAGTGCTGTCGGTGGTTTTGGCAGCTGAACGAAACCAGAACTAGATAAGCAGGGTAGAGGGGCGATGTCCATTTGTCTGCTCTTATCATCCTGCTTTTAATTTGTGAAAGTTAAAGTTTAAAAAAATTATATTAAACGTGCGATCCTTTTTAGAATTCACGGAGTACGTTGAGGAAGTGGTTTTGTTTTTGTGAGTTTGTTTAAACAAATGACTGAGGTTTTTGTTTTTCGCTGTGTCTGGCCAGGCAGCAATGCTACACTTTTTTAAATTCATGAAATACTGACCAGCGAGTCTGTTCTTTAGCACTCTTCTGCTTTTGTGATGGGAAGACAAGGAGGCAGACACCAATGGCGCCTCTTACAATGGAGGTTTGTTTGTTTATTTTTTAATTTAATGGAGGGATTGTAGATGGCTTAAAATTTCCTTGTGCCAGGACAGAGAAGGGGGGGGGGGAGGTGGGTGGGAGAATAATTAGCCCATTTTAAGCAACTTTAGCAATAGCCGATCCATAGGCATTAACTTTCGACAGCGACAGAAGCCTCTTTCTAGACCTCATCCTGTGATGTTTTAAACAAATTTAATTTTGTTTGATTAAAATCTTTCTTAAAGGCCGAAATTCGCTGAGGTTATTTTTTCAAATTTTTTGGTTATATACTAATAAAGATGGCAAGTTATAATCTTCTGTTGAAATATGCGGGAAGCCTATCCTTCACCCCCTCCTTCCCTGAAATGCCAGGGCTCCCTTGCCTGTTCTGAGAGGTCCTTCTCTGGCACTCCTGCCTCGTACACACCCTTCCATCCCGTGGTCCACTCAGCCGGAAGTATTCTTGTCTTCCTGATGTGTATCTTTTAGGACAGGAATCTTTACCTTGAATTCTTATCTACATGTACAACTGGGGTGTCTTCCAGACAGGTGCACTCAGGTTTTAAATGAACAAATATTTAATCCAGAAGAATTTATGAAAAAAAAAAGGGGGGGGGCTGTTTGTATTTTTTTTTTTAAGCCATTGTTGTTAAACACCGTGTTTGGAGTGGTACGAATTCTGTGCTCTACCAATTTGTATGAATTATGCCATTTAAAGTAGAAATAATTAAGAAATCTTTCAGTGCTAGGTTAAACACAGGAGTGAAGTTTCCACTTTTTTATGTAGTCAAATTCATTGCCTTTTGGTCCTTTGGGATGGTGCTGAATGACCCTGACAGAACTATAAGGCACAGAAATGAGCCTCATGCAAGTCTGAGAGCTGAGCTCCTGGCATTCAGTACTTCTGTTTATCATCATCTGTCTCCCTGTTAAGTCACAGCCTCTTGTGGTCCTCAGTCTCCTCATCAATGAAATATCGCTGATACCTTTCTATGACTTATGAAAGTAGGTTATGAGAACTACAGTAGAGAACTCTGTGTCATGTGCACGTGCACGGTACCTTACTGGTTAGAAGCACGGACCCTCGAGTCCTGTCGCTTCAGTTGGAATTTCTGCCTCTGCCTCCCGAAGCTCCTTGACTCCGGGCAAACCACTCTCTCTCTCTGTACTTGAGACTATGGTTCAGAGGACGGGAAAATAGGCCCTCCCTCTCAGAGTTGTGGACGTTAAGTCAGCGCATGCCAAGCACATGTAGCAGTGAGTGCCCCCATGTATGGTAGGTGACTTACTATTACGGATAACAAATGCTCATTTTTTTTCTTCTCATCTAGTACTTTGAGCTTTTACTTCTATTAGGGCCAAGAGACAGAGACAGAGAGAGAGAATTGTTACCATTAAAAAAGTTGTAGTCTGCCAGGGTGTCTGGGTGTCTCAGTTGATTAAGTGTCCAACTTTGGCTCAGGTCATGATCTTGCAGTTTGTGGGTTCGAGCCCTGCATTGGGCTCTATGCTGATAGCTCAGACCCTGGATCCTGCTTCAGATTCCATGTCTCTCTCTCTCTCCCCCCCTCTTCTGCTCACCTCTGTCTCTCTCTCTCTCTCTCAAAAATAAACATTAAAAAAAAAATTTTTTTTTAAGTTTTAGTTTGCCTAAAAGCAGATATGACCTAAAAGAAGGCTGGGGTTTGGTGTTGGATCAGATGATTCTTTGGTTATTCTCGGGGAAAACCAGCCAAGCCATGAGGCCAGAGGACTATCTTTCATTTTATTCCTCATCTCCCAAAAGTGGCTTCTCTGATTTTTCTCATTTTTCCTCCTTTTTAGGAGAGTCAAGGAGAGTAGTTTTTCATATTACTTTTGTCATCATTGTTATTTATTTGATAACAATTCACCATCGGAACATAAAACGTACTTACTTATCCTACAGGAAACTCCCTTCTGTTACGTATTTGCTTTCAATTTATGCTTTGTCTAATGCCAAAGAGAATTTGAGGCAGATTCTAATTAAAAGCCAAAAAAACAAAACAAAACAAAAAACCCAGATGACACGGGACCTGAATAGCCACATCAGCAAGATAAGCACACCATACTAGAAGGACTATCGGTCTTCTTGGAATCTGGTTCCTCTGGGATTCTAGGCACAAAGAATTTCCTCAAGGCAAAGAGGAAATACAGTAAAATCTGCATATGTAGGTATACATACAAAGTCCCCATATACATCTTCTGTAAATTTCAAGGGCTTTGCTTTCAGAAAGTTTGCCTAAGTAGTAGTCCAGGGTTAAAGTACCACCTGACTCCACGTATGTATATCATGTCTCATGGAACCAATATACACTGCACAATATACACTGCGCCACCGTGGACCAGGCTCTGGACATGGCCCTGGGAACACAGTGATGAAAAAACATAGGATTCCTATCCCAGTGCACTGTGCACCAGTGGAGAAAGGAGCATTAAACATAGTTAAGTGTTTTTTTTTTTTAATTGTAGTACTGCACATACAAAATTTATCATCGTAACCATGTTTAAATATATGCTTCAGCGGCAGTAAGTAAGTACGTTCCCAATGTTGTGCAACCATCATCACCAGGCATCTCCAGAACTGTTGTCTTGCACAACTGAAACTTTGTACCCATGAAACAATAACTCTTCCTCCTTCTTCCCTCCAGCAAAAAAAAAAAAAAAATAAAATAAATAATAATAATAATAATAACCATTAAAAATAAGTTTTTGATTGTGAATGTGGTCAGTGCTTTGAGAGACATGAAGCGGATGCTGTGTCTTAAAATGATAGGGCAGCAGGAAGGGCTCTTACCCAGAGAGGGTGATGGGGAGAAGAAGTCTTTGGGGGTGAAGACAATCACCCAACACTAAATGCTGCAGAGGCAGGTTGGGAGTGGGAAGAAGCGTAAGCCAGGCAGAAGGAACAGCATGCATCATGGGTCAGAGTCATGACAGGGTCTGCCTTCTTCAAGAAAGAAAAAGGAGCCAGGGTGGTTGGAGCAGGGGCCAGGCGGGTAAGAGGTTTTAGTTTTACTATGTGTATGGGTATTTGTGTATCCTTGCTGCGATTCAGTAAAATCTTCACTGTGCCCTGAAATACAGCACGGCCCGCCTGCAGCTTTTCAGTAACCTGGAGCACAAACTCATAGCCGCTTCTCAGAACTCCAGACTGTGCCTGCACCAGGAATTCACTAACACCCTTCCTGGCTGGATGAGCAAGTGCATTATCTTCCTTGATACGGGCCCAGAGCAGGGAGGTCCGAGGAGCAGGTGGTCGGCGTACTCCTGGAAGCCTCCTTCCCATCCCAGTGGCCTGGAGCCGGTGGGATTAGGATGAAGGAATGTCCCTGTGGCACTGGCACCAGGGATCATTTCTGTGAAGCAAGAGCAGTAGGTTCTAGATAGGGAGGTGCAGGTGGCGTGAGAACTGGACAGTCTGACTGCTGCTCTAGCCAGCTGGCTGTCCTTCCCCTCCCTCCACGCGGAGAAGCCAGCCCAGGGTGCCTGTGCACAAAGCCAATGTTTTTTTTCAAACAGCTTGCACATGTTCTTGGTTGCAACGCAGAGGTCTAGCTGGTGGATCCTGGAAGAAATTCCTTTGACCTGGAAAATCATAATGGCAATTATTTTTACTTAGCCCCCAAGCGAGCCTCTGAGTGGTTCCTGTAGAGCCCCTACATTTGTGCAGCCTATGAACCTGAGAGCGGAAACTGGTTGTTGAGCCCTTTGGAATAGTCGTAGCTCTGTCGGTTTATTTGAGCACTGATGACAGTTGGTGATACCTACCCAACCTTTGGCGACACTGTGTTATTATCACTTACCCCCACCTTACCCGGTAATTAACAAGGAGGATGCTTCTTCACCTCTTCACTGTTTGCAGGGAATTGTCTCATCGCCCTCCAGAAAGGAGCTTGTATATACCTTTGCTATAGAGAATCTTCATCCAACCCATGTAAAAGGTGAATAAAGTAATTTAGGAGAAAATTGTATTAGGAGGTTGGTTCTTTGTTTTTTGTTTTTTTGAAGACCTCTGTGAAGTTTTTTGAAACAGAAAAAATTCTCTTTCTCATCTAAAAAGAGCTGACTGCCTGATGGAAGTTGAAGGTTCAACTTCCATGCTGTGGAAGCTTTCTTGGCAGGCTCTAGAAAGTAATTTGCCCCTGGCCCTCCCCAAACCTCCCCATCCCCCAGCCTGCAGCTTGAGGACTCTTCAAAATAGTAACCAAAACTACAAAGAACCTTCAGATGATGATGTGTTAGGTAAGCTACTGCCCACCTTGCATTAAATGAGGATTATTTCAGAGCAAAGGGATTTAAGAACAGCAGTAAAAAACTGGAATTAGAATGCCAAGCCAATCTGAAATTTGTAATATTTTTATTTGTTCAAGCAGAGATAAAATCTGAAATATTTCTGAATCCTGTCTTAGTTTTTGTTTTTAAGAGAGATAGCAAGTGAGGGGAGGGGGAGGGAGGCAGAGAGAGAGAGAGAGGATCTTAAGCAAGCTCCAGGCTCAGCTCAGAGCCTGACTCAGGACTTGATCCCTTGACCCTG